GTCTGGGAAGTTGGGGGGGGCCCCGCCTGGTTGCGGGGGCTCCGTGCGGCGGGGTCGCCGCCGGCCTGCTGAGCAGAAGGGCTCTGCCCTGCCGCGGGGGCCTGGCGGGGCGGCGTGGGCCGTCGCCGAGGGGCCGAGGCCCCTCTTCGGGGGGCTGCGTTCCCCAAGGCTGCTTGTCACTTCTGCTGTTGCTGCAGAAGGCAGCGTTCCTGTTTTCAGAGCTGTTCTCTTGAGATTTTCCTGGTTATTCTGCTCGATACGGTCTTGTCATAATAAACCCTTTGGCGGGAAGAACGAACAGGGTTAAATTTTATAAAAACGTGTTGCTTATTCTGGGAGCAGCGTGTCCCCCCTTGAATCAAAACGTGTTGCTTTAATCAGGTTGATTGCCATCTTGAAAGTTGTAGGTAAGTCCTTTTCTTCGATGAAACATCAAATCAGTAGGAGAATAACATAAGAATGCCTTTCATTTTGGTGCAGAGCAGGTAGTGGGTTGGTTGGGATAACTTAAACACGAGAGAGTCATTGCTGAGAGTGAATATAACTGTTTAAAATTGCACATCGCCCCAATGCAGGACAGAGTCAGGCAGCTCTGAAATCCCATCCAGATGTCCCTAATGGGCGCTCAGCAGCGGAGGATGGAGGCCTTAAGATCACAGCGATCCTGAGCGCTCAGTACTCAGGCCCGTGGTCCATTTGAAATGGTAGCTGCGACAACGCACAACCGTATGTCTAAAGTAGTACTGACGTATGGGCGAATGTCTTTTTTTCCTTTTTGTTTTCCTTCAAGCATCAGAGATAAGGTTTCCCCTGTAGTTGTTAATTTGGCCAGCAGCCAGGGCTGTAGATAGCTTATGTTTTACTTGTTCTTGAATGCTTCTTATCTTGACTATACAGCCAGTAATCTTGGTCAGTAAGAGAGGCTTTTGTATGATTTTCTTTACCAAGAAGTTCGTTGTTTTTTTTTTTTTTAAAGATTTCTGTGCAGGGTAATGCATCACTGCTTTTGAATTATGGGAGGGAAAGTATGAAGAATGTTGAACCACTCAGATTACAGATGGTATTGGTAATTCTGGGCGGATGACTTCAAAATACGCATGCAATGCTGTAATGGTATATTTAAACCCACTCTATTTCAAATAAAATGTATGATACTTTGTTTTCCCCATCCAGATTACAGGGCCTGATAATAAAGGAATTTATAAAGGCGATCGAGAGTCCAGTGGAAAATACACGTTTGCCGCCCACATGGATGGAACTTACAAGTTTTGCTTTAGCAACAGAATGTCCACCATGACTCCCAAGATAGTGATGTTCACTATTGATATCGGGGAAGCTCCAAAGGGGCAAGACATGGAGACAGAAGGTGAGGAGGACTCCGGGAGAGAAATTAGCTCTGGCCCGGGAGCTTTTCCCTGCATGCATGACTTCTGAACTTGACTAGGATTCTCAGAATTCCTGTTTCTTCAGGCTGTCTAGTTAGCTGTTCTCTTGCACAGCTAAAATGGATATGGATGGTTTTTAGACCTCATTACGAGATTTAATGCAAAATCACCAGAGAATCACTTGGCCATCTGCAGGAACTAATGCTTTCATCCTTTAGTCTTTTCATCAGTTTCATTCTCTGATTTCTAGTTTGCTCAGCAGTATGTAGGCTACTACGTGCATTAGCTGAGCTCTTCGATAAATGCGCTAATATGAAAATTTTCTCTTAGCCATGTAGATTACTGTTTTATCTGCAGCCTTTTGTCCTGTACTTGTGTTCATCTCTTACACTTTTCTCTAGGTGGTGGAGATACCTGGGATGGTATGTGTCCTGCTTTTTGAAAGCTCGTTAGCATCTTGTCTTTTGCATATGTTTATTCACTAACAGCTAACGTTTGCTTTTTCTCTGTAACATTTGTTTGTAGCATGAGAATGTCTTTTTAATAAACTACATAAAAGGTCTGATTCTGAGCAATGCTGAGCACCTGCAAGCTTTCATCGAGAGGTTTATATACTTAGCAGCTCTTGGGATCAGGTCCTTGAACTGTCCGTGACAGTTTGTCTTCAGGTGGTTATTTAAGGCTAACAGAAGACTTAATCAGGCGTTTTAGGTGAAATTAAACTAAAACACCGAACGTCCAAGAACACTGGATATTTTGGACGGTGTTTGCTTTTTGTTGCTAAAGTGGGTGTTGAATAATCAAGGGCTTTTGGAAGCAATAAGCTTCTTTTAGGTTATTAATTCTCAGTAATGTTAGAAGGGGAGAAACTTCAAACTTGTCATTTGCTGTAAAAGAAAGAAATGAATGTATTGGGTAAGAAGTTATAAAGCTTTATTTAGAAATCACTAACTGTAGCTAGAAAGGCAATAAATCCTTGTTTTCTATTTCAGCAAGTAAATAACTGTGTCCATTGAGTGCTTGATATCACTTGAAAAGTAACACATTCCTAACTTCTGATTTTTTTTTAAAAGACTCAGTTAAATCTTTTATTGAGTCTGAATATATCTGTTGTAAAGAATATTAGCGCAGCTTTAAATTTTTAAGGCAAACAATTTTTCTTGAGTGTATTTTTTGGGGGTGAGTTTAAACAATCCCTGCAACTGTAATTTCTCCTCCTATTAATAAACTGCAGTTATTGCCATGCCCAGTTGGCCGTGAAAATAAAGGATTTATGATATTAGCAAAGTGAGTGTGGTTTGCACAACTATTTAAGATTTTAATTGGAATTTGTATGAGTGTTATTCTCTGGTCCTCTTTTTGATTGTTCCCCATAAGGTCTGTATTTTGAATAGCTTGATTTTCAGATTGTGATCTGAAACACTTAATTTATAAATAAAAACGTAATAAGGTAGCTTCAAAGTCAAGTATGTCCCTTCAATGGAAAATGTGTTGGGTTTTGCGACTTTTTTTAAGAGAGCTGATTGCCCAGGGCGTGTTTGTAGAATATCTTGAACTTCTCTTGTTGCTAGAAAACTTTGAAAATGACTTGCCTAATTTATAAGTTTGTACGTGGACAGTTCTTTTGAGCATGAACGTATTTAAAAGATCCTGCGACTGACAGTCAAATCACTAAATCTTGGATCTCTGATCCTTCCATTTGCTGAACTATCTCAAGCTAGTTTTCTGTTATCGTTGGTTTGGTATTTTCCTCCTCTTCTGCTTTCACGACATACCAGAACCTGAAGCCAGTTCCTGCCCTCTGCCAGGCCCCTTTGGCATTGTTTCTGCGGAATGCTGTGCTTCAGCTAAACCCGAAGATCACAAGATGTGATATGTTGCTTCAGAAAGTGATCTCATTTTGCCAGCATCATGATCTTAAGCTAAATTCTCAGTTGTTCTATTTTTGCAAGCTTAACCACTAGGAAAAGCTGTGATGTTACGATAATTTGCTTGGAATATATTGGACGATATTGGCAAAATAGATACTAGTGTGTGGTATTGATCTCCTGTGTTCTTACGTTCTATTTTTCTGGAAAAGTATGCCCATATTGGGAGTAAGTGGTCTGTACTGACTCTAAATTGCGTGTCTTCTGCCTTCTAGTTGGATGTGGAGAAAGATGGTTTTCCACTGATTAAATACCATAGAGTCGTGTTAGGAGAAGTGGCACTACGAAAACTAAAGTTTACTTTGCTGTAAGGATAGAAAGTTTTCAGCTGTACAGACTGCATTTTTCGGAACTTCTGCGACAGGAAATTAAATATAACTGTTTGTAAATTTTAACAAATTGTTTTTTGAGTCAGTAACGGACTTTCTGTTGCTTCTGAAATTATTCCGCAGCTCATCAGAACAAGCTAGAAGAGATGATTAATGAGTTAGCAGTGGCCATGACAGCTGTAAAGCATGAACAGGAGTACATGGAAGTTCGTGAAAGAATACATAGAGCAAGTATGTGTCTTTGACTTAAATGCCTTCTCCCCTCTCAAATGAACTTACAAAATGTGATTTAAAATGCAAGTCCGTGAAAGCTATTTCAAGTTACTAAAAAAAAAAAAAATTTAGAACAAGTTCTGAAGGACCTGCCCATACAGTAAAGAACGTAGCTGCTGCTTGCTATCTTGTTTAAATTGGCTCGCCTCTCATGGAATGAAGATTGTTACGCAAAATAATCTTTTCTTAATTGGTGTAAATTCTGTAGTTCTTTGAATGGCGTGTTCATGAAGATATCAGTAATGATATGGTTCCCAGGGGCAGACTTTGGTTGCACTATTACTTCATCCTTGAAGTGGGTGTGGCTTAATAATTGAGCCAAAGTCTTTTTTTAAGTATTTTGTTGAAATAGAGCAGAACTACTGTTATTTCCAAGCAGAGAATACCCTCACGTTCTGAAATACAGCTTTAAAATACGACTGAGTGCGCTAAGTGGTGCATTAGGGGAAGCCCAGTGAGAATAAAGGGCAAATATTTTTTAATGTGAAAATAGAACATTCTAAAGCACTGGCCCCTCAGCTTTTTGAACCTATGAATATCTCCAGTTTTATGACTTTTGTTACTAATGGTCTGATTTAAGAAAATGCTGAATTTTTAGAACCAAAGATGATGAACCTTTAGAGACTAGAAATTCCGCACTTGACTTTGAGGCTGTAATATGCGACCGTTACTTGAAAAAGCAAGTGGCTTGTGTTTGGCAGTTACAGGCTTCTGTCCAGCCTCTTTGAAGGGGGGCAGAACAGAGGAAGATGCTGCAGTGTATGTCCAAAGCTGAGGTTAAAACATCTGCCTGCGTAGCCAGCTG